GGAAGTTACAGAAGTTAATGGCAATCGATTTTAATTTTCAAGAACTTTAAGAGCATTTCCAAGAAATTCTAGAAGATTCCCAATGCATTTCCCGGGGTTTTGAAGGATATTTATGCACTTTGAAGATTTCTAAGGGCTGTTTAGGAAGTTATAAAACTTAATAGCAATCGATTTTAATTTTCAAGAACTCTAGGAGCATTTCCAAGAATTTCTAGAAGATTTGCAATGTATTTCCCGAAGATTTAAAAGATATTCAAGTACTCTGAAGGTTCCTAAGAGCTACTTAGGAAGTTACAGAAGTTAATTACATTCGATTTTAATATTTAAGTACAATTTAAGTATTTCCAAGAAATTCTAGAAGATTTCCAATGCATTTCCCGAAGATTTAAAAGATATTCAAGCACTCTGAAGGTTCCTAAGAGCTACTTAGGAAGTTACAGAAGTTAATTACATTCGATTTTAATTTTTAAGAATAATTTAAGTATTTCCAAGTAATTCTAGAAGATTTGCAATGCATTTCCCGAGGATTTAAAGGATTTTAAAGTACTCTGAAGGTTTCTAAGAGCTACTTAGGAAGTTACAGAAGTTAATTACATTCGATTTTAATTTTTAAGAACAATTTAAGTATTTGCAAGAAATTCTAGAAGATTTCCAATGCATTTCCCGAGGTTATGAAGGATATTTATGCACTTTGAAGGTTTCTAAGGGCTGTTTAGGAAGTTATAAAACTTAATAACAATCGATTTTAATTTTTAAGAACTCTCGGAGTATATCCAAGAATTTTTAGTAGATTTCCAACGCATTTCTCGAGAATTTAAAGGATATTCAACCACTCTGAAGTTTTCTAAAAGCTGTTTAGGAAGTTATAGAACTTAATGATCATAAATTTTAATTTTTAAGAACTCTAAGTATTTCCAAGAAATTCTAGAAGATTTCCAATACATTTCCCGAGGTTATGAAGGATATTTATGCACTTTGAAGATTTCTAAGTGCTATTTAGGAAGTTACAGAAGTGAATGGCAATCGATTTTAATTTTCAAGCACTCTCGGAATATTTCCAAGAATTTTTAGAAGATTTCTAACGCATTTCCCGAAGATTTGAAAGATATTAAAGCACTCTAGAGGTCTCTAAGGACTGTTTAGGAAGTAATAGAACTTAATGGCATTTGATTTTAATATTTAAGAACTCTCTAAGTACTTCCAAAAATTACTAGAAGATTTCCAATGCATTTCCAGAGGTTTTAAAGGATATACAAGCATTCTGAAGCTTTCCAAGGGCTGATTAGGAAGTTATAAGACTTAATGGCAATCGATTTTAATTTTCAACCACTCTCGGAATATTTCCAAGAATTTTTAGAAGATTTCCAACGCATTTCCCGAAGATTTGAAAGATATTAAAGCACTCTAGAGGTTTCTAAGGACTGTTTAGGAAGTAATAGAACTTAATGGCATTTGATTTTAATATTTAAGAACTCTCTAAATACTTCCAAAAATTACTAGAAGATTTCCAATGCATTTCCAGAGGTTTTAAAGGATATACAAGCATTCTGAAGCTTTCCAAGGGCTCATTAGGAAGTTATAGGACTTAATGGCAATAGATTTTAATTTTCAAAAACTCTCGTAGCATTTCCAAGAATTTCTAGAAGATTTCCAATGCATTTCTTGAAGATTTAAAGAATATTCAAGCAGTCTAAAAGGTTCTCAGGGCTGATTAGGAAGTTATAGAACATAATGGTAATCAATTTTAATTTTCAAAAACCCTCGGAGTATTTCCAAGAATTTTTAGAAGATTTTTGATGCATTTTTCGAGGATTTAAAGCACTCTGAAGGTTCCTAAATATTACTTAGGAAGTTACAGAAGCTAATGACAATCGATTTTAATTTTCAAAAACTCTCGGAGTATTTCTAAAAATATTTAGAAAATTTCCAATGCATTTTTCGAGTATTTAAACGATATTCAAGCACTCTGAAGGTTTCTAAATGCTACTTAGGAAATTATAGAACATAATAGCAATCGATTTTTATTTTTAAGAACTCTCTAAATATTTCCAAGAATGTTTAGAAGATTTTAAAGGATATTCAAGCATTCTGATGGTTTTTAAAGGTTGCTTAAGAAGTTATAGAACTTAATGACAATCGATTTTAATTTCCAAGAATATCTAGTATAGTAGGAACCACGAGAGCTGGCAGTGACTTGACGTTTAAAAATGGTATGAATCAAGATATGGACGTACGACTTAGATTATTTCACCACATACATTTAAATGTATGTTAGGTTACTAATGGAGGTTATATGTCAAACATTGTCAAATTTAGGAGAGGTTAAGCAGCGAAAAATCGTTAATATTAATTTATAATAAAATTTATGTAATTATTTATCCAATACTTTAAAAGGTTATTTNAAAAGATATTCAAGTACTCTGAAGGTTCCTAAGAGCTACTTAGGAAGTTACAGAAGTTAATTACATTCGATTTTAATATTTAAGTACAATTTAAGTATTTCCAAGAAATTCTAGAAGATTTCCAATGCATTTCCCGAAGATTTAAAAGATATTCAAGCACTCTGAAGGTTCCTAAGAGCCACTTAGGAAGTTACAGAAGTTAATTACATTCGATTTTAATTTTCAAGAACTTTAAGAGTATTTCCAAGAAATTCTAGAAGATTTCCAATGTATTTCTCGAGGATTTAAAGGATACTCAAGCACTCTGCAGGTTCCTAAGAACTACTTAGGAAGTTACAGAAGTTAATTACATTCGATTTTAATTTTTAAGAACAATTTAAGTATTTCCAAGAATTTTTAGTAGATTTCCAACGCATTTCTCGAGAATTTAAAGGATATTCAAGCACTCTGAACTTTTCTAAAGGCTATTTAGGAAGTTATAGAACTTAATGACCATAAATTTTAATTTTTAAGAACTCTTTCAATATTTCCAAGAAATTCTAGAAGATTTCCAATACATTTCCCGAGGTTATGAAGGATATTTATGCACTTTGAAGATTTTTAAGTGGTACTTAGGAAGTTACAGAAGTTAATGGCAATCGATTTTAATTTTCAAGCACTCTCGGAGTATTTCCAAGAATTTTTAGAAGATTTCCAACGCATTTCCCGAAGATTTGAAAGATATTAAAGCACTCTAGAGGTCTCTAAGGACTGTTTAGGAAGTAATAGAACTTAATGGCATTTGATTTTAATATTTAAGAACTCTCTAAATACTTTCAAAAATTACTAGAAGATTTCCAATGCATTTCCCGAGGTTTTAAAGGATATACGAGCATTCTGAAGCTTTCCAAGGGCTCATTAGGAAGTTATAGGACTTAATGGCAATCGATTATAAAATTCTAAAAACTCTCGTAGCATTTCCAAGAATTTCTAGAAGATTTCCTATACATTTCTTGAAGATTTAAAGAATATTCAAGCAGTCTAAAAGGTTCTCAGGGCTGATTAGGAAGTTATAGAACTTAATGGCAATCGATTTTAATTTATAAGAACTCTCGGAGTATTTCCAAGAATTTTTAGAAGATTTTTGATGCATTTTTCGAGGATTTAAAGCACTCTGAAGGTTCCTAAATATTACTTAGGAAGTTACAGAAGTTAATGACAATCGATTTTAATTTTCAAAAACTCTCGGAGTATTTCCAAGAATATTTAGAAGATTTCCAATGCATTTTTCGAGTATTTAAAGGATATTCAAGAACTCTGAAGGTATCTAAATGCTACTTAGGAAGTTATAGAACATAATAGCAATCGATTTTTATTTTTAAGAACTCTCTAAATATTTCCAAGAATGTTTAGAAGATTTTAAAGTTAGCATCATTTTTGACTCTTTTAAATGTAAGTGTTGTTTCAACATTTTTTTTCTTAATATTTTTCCAACCCAACCCAACAATTATTATACATCATTTTAAAGAAAAAGCTTTGAGCTTTAATTTAAAATAAGTTTCATTCCTTAATTTTAATAAATACGGCTTCCAGGAATTTTTAAATTAACATCTTTTTTGACACTTTTAGGTTATACGAAAATTTAAGTTTTGTTTCAACATTCTTTTTCTCTATATTTTTCCAATCTAACCCAACAATTATAATACATCATTTTAAAGAGAAAGCTTTGAGCTTTAATTTAAAATAAGTTTCATTCCTTAATTTTAATATATACGGCTTCCAGGAATTTTTAAATTAGCATCTTTTTTGACTCTTTTAAATGTAAGTGTTGTTTCAACATTATTTTTCCAATCCAACCCAACAATTATTATACATCATTTTAAAGAGAAAGCTTTGAGCTTTAATTTAAAATAAGTTTCATTCCTTAATTTCAATAAATACGGCTTCCAGGAATTTTTAAATTAGCATCTTTTTTGACACTTTTAGGTTATACGAAAATGTAAGTTTTATTTCAACATTTTTTTTCTCTATATTTTTCCAATCCAACCCAACAATTATTATACATCATTTTAAAGAGAAAGCTTTGAGCATTAATTTAAAATAAGTTTCATTCCTTAATTTCAATAAATACGGCTCCCAGGAATTTTTAAATTAGCATCTTTTTTGACACTTTTAGGTTATGCAAAATTGTTTATACTCATTTTCTCAATATTTTTCTAATTCAACCCATCGATTGTTATACATCGATTTAAACAGAAAGCTTTAAGCTTTAATTTAAAACAAGTTTTATTTCTTATTTTCAATAAACACGGTTTCCAGGAATTTTTGAATTAGCATCTTTTTTGACATTTAGACTATGCGAAAATAGGGGGATTACATATAAAGTTTCAAAGTTTTATTTAAACAGTGGTTCATTATTTATTCATTAATTATTAATTTATTTCATTTTCGGCTTGTGAAAACACCAACAATTCACAAGACGTTTCGATTTGAGGTTATAATTATAGAGTTACATCCCTTAGAATATTAGATATTATTAATACAAGAATTGGGTAGGTTTTTAAAGGTTGTTTAGGAAGCTTTCTAAGAATTTTCAAGGTGGTTAAAGAGTTTTTATGATTTCCAAAAGCGATTTTGGAATTTATTGGTGATAGATATAAACTTAGGAGGACTTTTTGTCAACTCAACAAATTTATTTCTTAATAAAAAAACTCAAATTTTCCATTTTTATTAAATCATTCCCTGGCTACCAAGATTTTGAAGCATTTGAATCTGCAAATGGAGTTAATAATAAATACAAAGAATTAAAAATAACCACACATTAATTGAAAAAGTTACTTACCTTCATAACATAACAAAGATTAAATCCAAAGTGGTACAATCATCACAAAAATCACTACATAATAATAAAATTTAATAAAGCTCTTGGACTCTTAATGTAAAAAGATAAAATTTAACTCACCGGTTTGATATCTCTATGTAAAAACCCCACAGAATGTATACTTTCAATAGCTTTAAGTATTTGTAGTCCTAATCTCAATGTAGTGGATAAACTAAAAGCAGCCCTGGGTTGGGCCCTCCTCAATTCAGCAAGATTCCTCCCTTGTAATTGCATCACGACGTAATTGAAGCGGTCGTTTCGCCCACATCCAATGAACCGGCATACGTGCTCCTTCCCTTGGAGCTTTTTTAGCACCGCCACTTCCATTTTGAGGACTTGCTTAGGTTGTCTCGCCGACTCAACCTTCAAAGCAACCTGCTCCCTGGTTATCAAATCTAGCCCTTCATAGATTTCCCCAAAACCGCCTCCACCAATTTTTTTCACAACCTAAAACAAAACATTATGTAACACCTACACTTTGTGCCAAGACACCTTGGTATTAAAAAAACGAAATAAGAAAGGTAGGATTCATTATAAATAGATTGGAGGTTAAAAAATTGGTCAAATTTGATGATTTTTAAGTTTGCGAAGCACTTAAATTTATTATATTTTGAGTTTAAAATTAAAATTTGCACACCACACCAATAAATAAGTTCGAAATTACCTTCCAACGTTCTTTGACGACGTGCCCCGGTTGGAGGAGATCCTCAGAAGTCATTGTGATGTTGTTATTTTGATCGGTCGAATCAAATTGTTGCAAATTTTGTTCGTGTCGCAACGCTTCTTGTTGTTGTTTCTCCCAAGTTATGTTCTTCGGCCTATAAGAAGCGAAAATATCACATTTAAAGTCTTAAACGCAACCAATTTGACACAATCAAGGGTCACGAACGCAAAAAGTTCCAGCTGATTCGCAACTGCGCATGCTCAATGCGCCTAACCTTCGACGGGGTGTGGATTATATTGATTTTTTGAATCCCACTTTGTTTAAAAAACCAAGAAAAACACCCCGAAACGTTAAAACAACCCCAAAATTAATTAATCCCAATCAAAATGCAACCACAACCGAAATAAATTCGATTTGAACTTTTTAGGTTAGGATTTTATTTTGTATTAAAAAAATTTTTTTTTTTATGTAGCGATTTTTTTTAACAAAGTGTTAATTGAAATGATATTGTTTAAATAAAAAACTTAATTAATTAATTATATCTTACGGTAAACGTTGAACCGGGGGGAATAACAACGTTCGTGGGCGGCCATTTTCCAAACGTACACTGCGAAGTTAGACGCGAAAACGAACCGAAAAAAATTTATTTAAAAAAAAAAATTAATTCTAAATTTGTTATTAACGCCGATTCATAATTAATTAAAACGAATTAATCGGGATTAATTGATTGCGGAAAAAGCAATTTCGGAATGTAAGAAACTTGAAATTTAGAAAACTGTCATTTGCGCGTTTTTTGACGTTGTTTCATCGTTGACAGTTTAGTACTGGGTGTCTCCAAGGATTTTCGTAAGTTTTTCGTTGCTTAATTATTAATAAACCGCGTGTTAAATCGCTTTTTGTTATAAATAACCTCAATCCGATTAACTTTTGTAACAACAAAAAAACTTTTCGACTAAAAATACCCCGCCGAATATTTTGGCAAAATTCCTTTTCTTAAATAAAAATAAATCGTTGAGGGTATTTTTAAAAAAACAATTATATTAATATTACCACGATAGTTTTATCGATAACCTTTTAGATTTGGGTTATTTCGGGTTGCCCCATAAAACTTAATTTATTACCTTAATAATTAACCTTTACGAAAATCAACAAAGTTTTTCGGGGAAAATTGAAAGCGAATTTGTTTTTATTAAAAAATCGTTTATTTAACTTGCAAGTTAAATATAATATCTCTATTTTTAAACACCTTTTAGGTATGTTCAACTCGAACGTGAAGATGATTTCCTGGTTTTTAATTTTAGAACGTTTCGAAACCACTTACCACTTCATCCTTTATTAATGTTATTCAAAAAATAACTCAAAAAAAAAACTGCACAAATCACTTCTTTTAATCACGATTCACGCAAAACTTTGTTCATTTCAGAGCGAATATTTATTTGTTAGTAATAAAGTGTGTTGATTGAAAGCTGGGCAAGTTTTAAGCACACTCAACTCAGTGTGGAGCTCTTGTTTAGAAGATATTTCTCCCACCTCTCCAAGATCACGTGTAGGTACTTCTATTGAGGGATTTTTCTTTGTTTGATTATTTAAAACGGTTGTGATAAATTTCGAATAACTTTAGAACATACAAACGATTTGGAAGATTCCAAAGTACAAAAACAGTTAAATCTGCAGCCAAGAATGGCAAAATTTAATGGAATTATAACGAAGATTAAAAGTTGCTTGTGTTAAAAGTTGGACAAAATCTAAGCTTTGAATATTCTAGACTCATTACCATAAATACTCATCTGATGTTAATCCTCAACATACATTCTGCTCATTAAGGTTTTTTTTGTCAAGGTTGGTAAATGGTCTCAGAGGCTGGGTAAATTCTACTTAGTACTAACTCTAGTCAAACTTCTAAAGAACCAAAAGCAGCTCTGCTAACAAATCCTACTCTCACATCCTCAACAACAAAAATGACCACACAACAAGAACAAAAACAACATAAAAATGTTCAATTTGAGAATTTTAATGAAGAAAAGGAAAAGAATGGAGTTATTATTTTCAACGTTTTGAGGTGGAATTAGCGATACATGGCGTAAGGACAACCGATGACACAGCACGGAACTTGTTGTTATCGAAAGTAGGAGCACAGAGGCGTTTAAAAGGGGGCGCCGGCGCCTTTTTAATGTTTTCTCCAACAATATCTTATCTTTCTTTTGCAGTATTTAGCCCTGAAAGCAGTAGCTAGTCTTTAGAAAGCAGTATTTAGTGTTCCAGACGCTGTATTTAGACCTATCGGCAGTATCTAGTATTCAGAAAGCAGTATTTAGTCTTCTAGAAGCAGTATCTAGTCTTCTGCCAAAGTTATGTATGTTTTCTCCAACAATATCTTATCTTTCTTTTGCAGTACTTAGACCTGTCAGCAGTATCTAGTCTTCAGAAAGCAGTATTTAGTCTTCTAGAAGCAGTATCTAGTCTTCTGCCAAAGTTATGTATGTTTTCTCCAAAATATTTTATCTTTCTTTTGCAGTATTTAGACCTGTTAGCAGTATCTAGTCTTCAGAAAGCAGTATTTAGTCTCCACAAAGCAATTTTAGTCTTTAGAAGGCAGTATTTAGTGTTCCAGACGCTGTATTTAGACCTGTCGGCAGTATCTAGTCTTCAGAAAGCAGTATTTAGTCTTCTAGAAGCAGTATCTAGTCTTCTGCCAAAGTTATGTATGTTTTCTCCAAAATATTTTATCTTTCTTTTGCAGTATTTAGACCTGTTAGCAGTATCTAGTCTTCAGAAAGCAGTATTTAGTCTCCACAAAGCAATTTTAGTCTTTAGAAGGCAGTATTTAGTGTTCCAGACGCTGTATTTAGACCTGTCGGAAGTATCTAGTCTTCAGAAAGCAGTATTTAGTCTTCTAGAAGCAGTATCTAGTCTTCTGCCAAAGTTATGTATGTTTTCTCCAAAATATTTTATCTTTCTTTTGCAGTATTTAGACCTGTTAGCAGTATCTAGTCTTCAGAAAGCAGTATTTAGTCTCCACAAAGCAATTTTAGTCTTTAGAAGGCAGTATTTAGTGTTCCAGACGCTGTATTTAGACCTGTCGGAAGTATCTAGTCTTCAGAAAGCAGTATTTAGTCTTCTAGAAGCAGTATCTAGTCTTCTGCCAAAGTTATGTATGTTTTCTCCAAAATATTTTATCTTTCTTTTGCAGTATTTAGACCTGTTAGCAGTATCTAGTCTTCAGAAAGCAGTATTTAGTCTCCACAAAGCAATTTTAGTCTTTAGAAGGCAGTATTTAGTGTTCCAGACGCTGTATTTAGACCTGTCGGAAGTATCTAGTCTTCAGAAAGCAGTATTTAGTCTTCTAGAAGCAGTATCTAGTCTTCTGCCAAAGTTATGTATGTTTTCTCCAAAATATTTTATCTTTCTTTTGCAGTATTTAGACCTGTTAGCAGTATCTAGTCTTCAGAAAGCAGTATTTAGTCTCCACAAAGCAATTTTAGTCTTTAGAAGGCAGTATTTAGTGTTCCAGACGCTGTATTTAGACCTGTCGGAAGTATCTAGTCTTCAGAAAGCAGTATTTAGTCTTCTAGAAGCAGTATCTAGTCTTCTGCCAAAGTTATGTATGTTTTCTCCAAAATATTTTATCTTTCTTTTGCAGTATTTAGACCTGTTAGCAGTATCTAGTCTTCAGAAAGCAGTATTTAGTCTCCACAAAGCAATTTTAGTCTTTAGAAAGCAGTATTTAGTGTTCCAGACGCTGTATTTAGACCTGTCGGCAGTATCTAGTCTTCAGAAAGCAGTATTTAGTTTTCTAGAAGCAGTATCTAGTCTTCTGCCAAAGTTATGTATGTTTTCTCCAACAATATCTTATCTTTCTTTTGCAGTATTTAGCCCTGTAAGCAGTATCTAGTCTTCAGAAAGCAGTATTTAGTCTCCACAAAGCAATTTTAGTTTTTAGAAAGCAGTATTTAGTGTTCCAGATGCTGTATTTAGACCTGTCGGCAATATCTAGTCTTGAGAAAGCAGTAATTAGGCTTCTAGAAGCAGTATCTAGTCTTCTGCCAAAGTTATGTATGTTTTCTCCAACAATATCTTATCTTTCTTTTGCAGTATTTAGCCCTGTAAGCAATATCTAGTCTTCAGAAAGCAGTATTTAGTCTCCACAAAGCAATTTTAGTCTTTAGAAAGCAGTATTTAGTGTTCCAGACGCTGTACTTAGATCTATCGGCAGTATCTAGTATTCAGAAAGCAGTATTTAGTCTTCTAGAAGCAGTATCTAGTCTTCTAGAAAGCAGTATTTAGTCTTCTAGAAGCAGTATCTAGTCTTCTGCCAAAGTTATGTATGTTTTCTCCAACAATATCTTATCTTTCTTTTGCAGTATTTAGCCCTGTTAGCAGTATCTAGTCTTCAGAAAGCAGTATATAGTCTCCAGAAACCAATTTTAGTCTTTAGAAAGCAGTATTTAGTGTTCCAGACGCTGTATTTGGACTTATCGGCAGTATCTAGTATTCAGAAAGCAGTATTTAGTCTTCTAGAAATAGTATCTAGTCTTCTGCCAAAGTTATGTATGCTTTCTCCAAAATATTTTATCTTTCTTTTGCAGTATTTAGACCTGTTAGCAGTATCTAGTCTTCAGAAAGCAGTATTTAGTCTCC